AAATTAGATAGATCGAAATTACCCGCCGTTGCTTGAATGATTTTTTGATGCTAGTTTGATGGTTGATTTTGCTTGATTGTCAGAGAGGAAAGACGAGATGAGTGGACCCGAAAGGCGTCCCCCAAAACGTAGAGCACTGCAGATGACCAACTAAGGTCATCGGTCGATAGTACAGGAAGTGATCGCGCGCGTGAAGACTGGTACTTAAGCACGAGGGGATCAGTAGTCTATCTGTTCTTTTTTGCTCGGTTAGGGCCTACGTGGCCACGTCGTGTTTTGTTTGCCTTTGTGGCTCATAGTGAATTGCGCCTCGTGGCTCCGTAGTGGACGGTGCCTTAGTGGCTGAAAATAGTTGCAACCCCAGGCCTTGCTCTCATCGCGGCCTACTCTTTTGAAGACCGCGGCTCAAGCAGGGAGGCCCGGTCATAAGGTTCAGGTTTAGTTTTTGTCCGTTGGAACTCGGTGCCTTGCGTTGTGGGATTCGACCTTTGCGGATCAACTGCTCATCGCCTCTTGGCCCAAATTGATCTTCTGCTGCATATTCGCAAATTATTTTTTTTGTTTCGTTCTGTTCGTTTTTTTTAATAAACATCGTTCGTACTCGTCTGCCTAGCAGTTAGTGGTGCTACCCACGAATATCTTTGATCATAATTACTTGTCTTTCGTACATGATAGTTTTAATGCCATTCGAAAGCACACAATCTGTCCAGTGTTCTCTCAATAACACTTACATGTTTGCTTCATTAAAAGCGTGAGAGAAGCACGAGAGCAGAAGAGTAGCAGGAGCGTGAGAGTTATAAGAAAACCGGACGCTGCTGAACCTTAGACCTAGAACTGTTTATGAAACTCCAGAGTGCCAAGCCGGCATCTGAGCTTTGAGTCACGAGCAAACAGCTGGCTGACCACAAACAATCGACAGAGAAGCTGCTTTGGAAGAGCCGACTTTTTGCTCACGTGTGAGCTCCGTTGCGAAACAGATGTAGAAATGCTGTGCATAAAAATGCTATGCAGATCGAAAGCTTTCGAGTGACATCAAAATTAAAATAATAACGAAATCAAAAAAGTATCAAACAAAAAAAACTATGGACAGATGGGATCAAGCCAATAGAAAAAACAAAAAAAAATGTTTACGCAACTCTACTGGCATAGTGATCGACCTGCACTACTTTAGATAAATAGAGAAATGAATATTACAATGACAACATTTTCCCGCTTCACTACGCCAGTAAAACCTCACCCTTGCAGGGAGAGTTCGGTCCGAATGGAATGCACCACCATGAGACGAGAGTGAACACGACGAAGGAGTCGAAGGGGTTGCGTCGCGACTGCTGCGACTCAATGCTCCACCTAAGCGAAGACCTTCAAGACGATCAGGAAGGCCAACTCGCAAAGGTGGCACACTATGCGGTCGAAGCTCTTCCTGCAACACATATATTCACTACATCATGACAGGTTATCACATTACTAAGAAAAGAACAGAACACATAAGACCGAAGAAAAGCAAATTTTTACGAGATAAAGTACAACAGAATGAAGTCCGTGGAATTCTTATTTGATTAGCCGCTGTTTTTCAGATAAGGTTCGATAACCGAAGTAGAAACCTTGTCACTTTTACACTAATAACTGAATTCACTTTGAGATGATATCTACCTCATCCTCGTCGCCACTATCCCTGTCTCCCTCTTCACTGCAGCGCTGAACTAGTCGAGCGGAAGAACCATTATTCACCTGCAAAATGCGTAATAAAGGTAGACAGTGTTGATTTCCTAAGCGCTGAAAAATGAAGTGAAAGAAAAAATAGTTGCATACCTTGTCAAGAAGGTCTCTTGTCATTCTTGAACTAAGAGAGCCCAAAACGAAATGGTGTGTCTGGAATAAACATATAACAGATAAAATCATGAGCTTTTCGGTAGCTGCCGCAGTAGAAATGTGGCCTAGAGCTAAGCACCATGTGCTAAATCAAAATGTGTGTGCAAAAACATCACCAAAACGAAGGGCACAAACATTAGACTAGCAAAAATGACGAGCGAGTGAGGGAGAAGTCAAAATCTTCCAGAGAATTGTAGCTCGTGCGATAGGTCACTTTACAACAACGGATTTGTAAGAGTAGCAGCTGTTTTGAACTATGAGCGTATTCCACGCAATCCTGTACTGCGAAATGCCTGGGATTCGTAGTAGAGGCTAATGTTAGCGCATCTTCCAAAAAAAAACATTTAATATTCAAAAGCTCTTCATGCCGTCATTGAACTTGAGTTTGTCGAGATGGAGCAGCCATGAAATTACGGAGGCCCCATGATTTAATTGAGGCTCGACAAAATTTTCTGAGCTAGGCGTTTGAAAAGCACAAAAGTGGGAGTGACGAGTGCCACATTAGATTTAAGAGAAGCATATATAGACCCCGCACGACAGGTGAAGCTATAGAGCCTCACGTTAGTTCTTGGCGTTGCATATGAAATTTTCTCAGGCCCTCCTCTGGTTCTAGATACTGCCTTGACATAAAATTTGGATGCATCAACTCGGGCAATACCGGATAACAACTTAAACACCATACAAGCGTCATAAACTTTTCTACGAGAACATAAACTATGCAATTGGTAACTTCTATTTCTGGAATTCGGTTGAGGCACACGAGCGTAAGTAGCATCACCAGCCCTAATAAATAGTTTTCGAGTGAAATTATCTTGGATTTTTTCATGTAATTAGATATCCTTTTTTAACATCCACAACATGGAAACGGAATAATTGTGGTAAATCCTTTGACACAGCATGAAAAAAGGATCATACTTTGCAGTTCGATTGCCCTTGAGTGGAAAACAAATGTGTATCGACCGTGCATTAGCACAGTCGATATGTATTTATTCCACTCGAACTGCACGCCGAAGCAAAACATGATTGAAGTCTGTGAAAAACATATCCAACTATGATAGACAAAGAGTGGATACCGACAGAGCCCTACTATGAGATCCAAATGAGCTCACCGCTAAAAGTTTATCAGGTGCCGGTCGTTTTTTCGGATTTCGAGTGAGACACTGGCGAACAAAGTCATGAAACAATGGTGACCTTAAAGCAATAGTATAGAAAATAAGATGAAGCCAGAACTTCGCCAAGCTTTAGTCAATAATAAATAATGGGGAAGACACAAACCACCGGTGCTTCTCCTTCAGATGTGGTGGCTTATAACTACTCTTGGTCATAAGATACAGCACCTAAAAAAATATAAGTTGCGCTTAGGATAAAGAATTAGTCACTTCACATATTTACCCTTGGGGACTTTCTGATCGATATAATACCAGGTTAAGCCACTGTTGAGAAACTTTTGAGTAACATGATTCCCCAGCCCTCCGTAAATCAGACATAAGCACAAACAGCACTAATGGCTAATGGTGTTGATTTCAGTAGTGACACTGAACCTTCTACTTGCAATGATAGTTTGATGTCAGAATTTGCGAATGCTTCGAATCGCGGGGACGACCAAGGCGCTGGTGGTTCCGTGCGCACGGAATGTCTCTCGCGACTTTTTCACACCTTCAAATCGCTAGTGCATCTTCGAACCACTGACGCATCGCTCGTGTCCCACTGGATTCGCACAATTTCGATTCGCATTTTCTGACATCGGCCACATGGTCTACACCTCTACCTTTTCTACCAAATTCCAGAATTGCGCAGAAGGGGGGGGGGGTGTATTTTATGTCTAAAACAGCCAAATTTGACGGATCTAATTATGACCGTCTGCGGAGAAACACCTCATCATGGCTCATCCTGCGTAACTGATGGTGGGTTTAACCCACTGCAACACACATAGGTACCTGCATTGGATGAAGATCAAAGGATGGTGGCTGACATTCTGCTAACTCAATAGCTGTGATCCCAACTGCCCAAACATCACACTGGACTCCATAGCCACCTCGCCTTTCCACACACGCTACTTCAGGAGCCATCCTTAAATACCCTGCTGTGAAGAAAAAGTAGACAAGAAAAGAAATCTTTCGGAGGCAAAAAGACACTGATTTGATTGTAGGACCCACTTACCAATAAGGTGTCCCTATGAAAGACTTTCGCTTCCCTATAGTTGCAGTTATTTGAGCCGCCACGCCAAAGTCAGCTGTAACACCGGTAGAATATGATCCTTACAACGAATGAAATGTAAAAGGTGGATAAACTTACCAAGCTTCACGTCACCCCCGTGTGTCAGAAGAATGTTTGCGCCTTTGATATCACGATGAACCTGAATAAGATAGTTATTGAAGCAAAGCTCACATCAGAACTGCAATTAAGAAAGAATTCTCTTCATAAAGACAAGCGAAAATCTAACCTTCCCCATTTTATGAAGATAGTCGAGACCTTTTAGAGTTTCACGACAGACGAAGGCAATTTGAAGCTCAGAAAGTGGGCCAGTCACTGAGAATTGAACAAATGATTTGTAGCCAATCATCGAAGACAATTGAAAATAGTCTTGGTCATGATAGTCTGTGAAAATTTCACTTCCGGAAAGATAAAAAAGTATCTTAACGAACAAACCACATAATTCGTTGAAAAGAGAAAATTGCTGCCGTGTTGGGAAAGACTACGCAACAGTAATTACCCTTCAATAAATTTTTCGAGAAAGACCCATCTGTACGAAAAGAAATTGCAAAAAAGCGCACTGCATTCCCTCAGGGGCCGTATGCTATGCTTTCCCCGAAGCTCAGTGATCCAAAGTTTCCTTTAAATTTATTTGTTTTGAACGATATAGTTTCATTTTCAGTGCAAATTTACTTTTACCTACATACATGCCTACATGAGCGCATTTCGCAAACCTCAGGTTCACCGTTGATCAGGAGTGGACCTGGAGCTCCCGCAGCGAAAAATGTTTCGCGAAAAAGTCATTTTCTGTCCTGGTCTACTACACCCACATTTTTCCACGTTCGGAAAGAAAAAACACGTATTCGTTTCCTGGGGCTCGATCAACTGATAATTTTTAAGCACCGTTCATAGCGCGCGAGTTATGTGTGACGTTCGTGCTGAAAGATGCGTATCGATCTGGTGGTTATGCAATTTGGCAATTTGGAGAACGGATCAGGTGAGCATAGAATGGAATGACTCCAACCTATTAACGCTCAGTGCGGTGTGCCGGTGATCTTTCTGACCAGTACTTATACATTCCTTTCAGCGATCGTCAAACTGTTGTCTACGCACAGAGCCTCATCTCCAAAGACGACTAGCGATTATGTGAGCATAATTCATATATGCAGAGTAGAGTTATCACCTCTGCTACCAGAAACCCCTTCTGTCTCTTGAAAAATAACACAGTTGTGAAAGAGATTAGATTATTATTAACATTTCTACAAGGTAAATAAAACTAATTTGCAAAATTTCGCGACAGCAGTGCCTCCCCATGATCCATGTACTATGGACCTAAAAGATACATCAGAACAAGGCCCTCGGAAGAGTTAAACACAGAAGGAACTTAACACGTTGACGACATCGCGTGTTTTGGCATTTTGCACCGCGTGGGACAGGAGCGATTTTGCGAGCGCGCCGTCCTCACCTTACTTCCGCTTATTTTTTGTTTAAAATGCACAACAACTTGAATCTCATAGAATTATTTCGGCAAGGATGAAAGCATAAAGGTTAACTATATAAATAGCAGTAGATTTTTGTTTAGAAGAACGCATAATGACCACGAAGAAGCAAAAAACATCACTTTCGCTGCGAATGAAGTTACTAAGCATTTATACCTAAGTTCTCCCATTTGTATTGACTGCTTCTACAATCTTTCATATAAATGTTACAACAGTGAAAGGAATACTAGGAAAGAATTGAAATGAAAGTTTTGTGCGTTCAGAAAATCTTTGCTAAATCAAGGGATATTTGACCACTCTGGCTGCCATGTTAATGTATTATCTATAGAATGAATACAAGAAACTCGAGAAGAAGGAGCGCAAGCACAATAAAAATGAATGAGATAGTTCTGACGCGCATGCGCGTCAGCCTGTCGTCAACGTGTTAAAGATATGTGCGGCTGTGCGAACCACTGACTAACAATGAAAAATAAGCTCTTGCATTTGTTGTGATACATTACCACAACCGCAACACTATATCCTCAATTGTGTCTAACAGCATTTTAGTAGAACTACGGGATGTGAATCATTTCGAAATAAAATTAAGATGGTTTTTTGTTAATATTTCCGTGACGTATTTTGGTATTTACTCAGGAACGGATACATAAAGCCAAGACCTGAACATAGCAAAGCCACCATCGCTTACAAAAGCGAAAAAAAAACTTGGTACTGTGGTCGATTTCAACAAAAGAAATGAAATAGTCTGTTTAAGTGAACATACTATGGTAAATGTCCTGAAGAGATCCCCCTCCACAGTACTCCATCACAATCCACAACCTGTCACGACGTAAATAACTCCCGTGGTAGGCAATAATATTTGGGTGTGAGCATTCTCGAATCATAAGAATTTCCTGCTGAATGATGGTGAAGTTATCACCCGCTTCTAGTTTGACCACTTTCACTGCCGACAGCTCTCCACTCCTGAAAATGATATTGTAAATATTTTGGAGGTATGATACACAATACAGAGTGATAACAACTAGGACTTCAAATGTGGTTTTTCAACTCCGCATCAGTAATGAAGAGTCTGTAGAAGCACTAACTGTTACTCTACATACAAGAATACTATCATTACTTGATCCATTACCTGGTTCGGCACGTCAAGTTCATTTTAATACGGAGGGAGGGTTTAAACTATTCGTTCTGTGTGCTTTGCAGCTCTAAGCTTCCAGTTTTGATGAACGGGGAGCTATCGATATTGGAAAAATGACTTCAAAACTCGAGGAATTATTCCCGTTCCAATCAATGAGTGACTAAACAGTTTTCAAATAAAAACAAGCAGTACTTACCTTATGTGACGGGCTTTGTAAACTTCACCATAAGTGCCAGAACCAACCCGTTGTAAGAGCTCATAATCGTCGGCAGGATTTGCCCGCTTAATAACCTCCGAACTCATTCTGCAAAGTTCCGCAAACAGCTCAGAGCCTGTTGATGGAGCTGCAGAACATCACCTCCTGAAAAGACAACTCAATTGGCCATGGTATCGACAAGCAACGAGGGGAAGGCGATGGAAAAAGCGGAAAACACGTCACTGGTCGCGCAAGTGAGTAACCAGCACCGCGACGGCGACAACCAACGACGCGGCCGGCGCGGTCCGCGGTTTTCGGCGGCGGCCGAACTCAGCCGCCCTGCCTCGCCCACGAGAACTCGTCCACGGCTGCACTCGTCCTCTTCGGGCGACTTCGGCGTCTTCGTAGATTTGTGTTCTGGGTTCATGGAACGCGATAGAACCAAAGATGGGCTCTTACTTGGCACTAAGGTCTTATTTAGTCATAACACTGATTCTCATGTCGCTTTTCACTTCACGGGGGTACCTTTTTACATTTGTCGTATTGCAATACGGAAACTTGGGAAAATCTAGCACAAAGCCATATTTCTAAACAGGAGGAAGGGTCGGCAGGATTGGGAATTGTTCTTTTGAAGCGATGGTAACGGCGAAAAAACCGATCATAAAAGTGAAAAAAAAACAGCTACCCCGTACTTTTGGCGCATGACTATCACTTCATCGGTCGTTTGTGATGCGATATTTTTTCATAAACTGCTGGAAGCAACCGTGGCTATGAGACTGAGAAAGTATTGCCCTTTTACAATTCTAGCTCAAAGCTCAACAATTTTGGTGCAACCTTCTTCGTGCAAAAAGTACGAACCGACGTTTGTCCGTCCTTCCCATTTTGTTCGCGAAGGTTCGATGTAACTGTGTTGTTCTTCTATGTCAGTGCTGCTCTGTGCTGGTTGATAATTAGAATCTTTATTTGATCGGCTGACGTTTCGACCTTTTCTTCTTCAGAGGCCTGAAGATTGCTCGGTGCTTTAATTTTGTAAGCTACCCGATCAAGCATATCATCCCCAGCTTGTCCCACTTCGTGCTGAGAAACGCTTCGGAATCCCGAGTACGAATCTTGTAAGGTTTCACCAGTTCTGTAAAGCATTTGGTTCATCTGATTATACAAGCAGGGCTAAGGCTAATGCTTCGCGGATCTGGTGGAACCGTGAGTGAGTTCTCCGGGTGGGGTTCACTAGGACAGAAAGCGAATTTTCCGCTTTTCGCAGCGCGAAACTTTCTTCCCTGCGGGAACCTCTGGTCCAGCGCTGATCATGGATGGACCTGGGGCCGTATGCTATGCTCCCCCAACATGGGAGGGGTCCCCGTCCCGGTATGCTATGCTCCCCCCGACAGTTCTCGGGGAGAGGCCACGCCCACCGATAGCCGGGGAGATCTCCCCTATCGCCTGCCGGGTCGACGGACTACTTGAACTCAGCCCTTTAAACCGCCTCTGCGCTCTCTCGCGGGTCCCTCTCCTCTCCAAGGCTTAGTCCTAGGGCATTCACCCGTTCTCTAATCGTCTGTGCTCTAGCCATCGCGGCAGGACCATTGAGGAAAAATCAAGTAGTCCGTAAACCGTCCTACCACGAATGGCGGAGGGCACAGACAGTTAGAGAACGGCGCCTGGCTCGGCTCCAAATCCCAAGGAAGGAGGTGAGAGCCCTAGGACTAAGCCTTGTAGGAGGGAGGGACTTCGAGGTGGGTGAGCCAACTACAGTGTGGCAAAAGTTTGAATGTGTGAGATCACAATGGTCATGAGCCGCTGATAAGGTGAGAGAGCGCAGACGAGAGATGGATCTGAGGCGGCTTAAAGGACCGGGTTCAAGTAGTCCGTCAACCGATCCACGCGAAGGCGCGGCGCTGTTTTCGTCTGCTCAGCCAAGGCTTGTCACCGATGGCGCGTATTTTGAAACTGCCACATAATGGCGAAAGAGTAACTGTCCCTGTGGACTAAGCCTTGGAGGAGCAGACGAACAGAGCGCCGCGCCATCGCGTGCCCCCCCCCCCCGAACCCGAGTTTCACCCTGGAAATGATCTATAAAGGATCATAAGCGCTTGCAGTTTCGTATGAGGCCGTGTTGCTCTCCTGCTCTTGGAACTTCACGAGGACCTTATGGCGGGCAGCTCACGAGCTGACATCTTACCGCAGAACGCATCTGTGACGCAATACTTCGAATTCGTCCATCAGATTCCTTCACCAAGGTGGATTTCGAATGAATCAATTGTTCTCATCAAGAACAGGTTGTGAGTGGCGCTATCAGCCAGATAATCAATCAAGCGCTCGGTCTGCGACTGTTGCGATCTCCCTACTCGCACTGTTTTGGATTTCGTCTTTTTTTCTCCCTTTGTGGAGCACCGTCGATCGACTACCACTGTTCAGATGGTAGGAAGTCTGCAGGGAAGCGGACAACAGATCGTCACCGGATTGCTCGACTATCTTATCTTCTGCAGAAAATCGCTCGAAAACACTTCATCTGTCATGGGTCCTCTATTCGCTTCCCAATCCTATCATGTGTTTTTCGAATCCAATAAGAAAACGGGATAAAATCAGCTGAACCCAAAAATTCTCCCAAGAGGAAGCAATTCAGTCGGACACCCGGTCGTCTGTTATAACGGGCGAAGACGAGAGACTGATTACTGTGTTGGTTTGGGGTTATATACGATGGGTGTATTATGGGATTTCTCCTAAGGGTGACCCGGGGAAAACACTTTCCCCCAACTGGCCTCAATCAGCTGATAGGTAATGGCTGGCAAGAAGCACCTCGCTCTAACCGGTTGCCCTTCCTCTTCGAACAATTACTCCTTCAATGAACCTTTTTTCAGAAGAAAGAGGAACTTTACATTTGAGTACTCGCTTTGTTCAGTGTTCGTTCGAGAATCTTTCAAAGAATCGTAAAAAAATATTTTATTCAATCACTATCGCTTCAATTGGCCTTGATGCTGCGCGTATTTGTTTTCATTATTTATTATTTTTGTAAAATGGGCATTAAGAAGAGTGCTTGTTTAGGACTTCATTCCTCATGAGCGTTAGCTACAAAAGATATTCACAAATTTCTTTCGGGAGCTTCCGCTTACTTTTGAAGCTCATGACAGACCAGATCACCTCAATGTTCATGCAATCAATGCACTTCCAGATATCACATCAAATCATCTGGGATGGACCTGGGCGACGTCGAAAAGTTGCTGCTGGCTTATATGGGCATTGACTCAACCACTGGAAGTGAAGGTCAGCTAACAATAAGCCGTGAGCAACCCAGAGAAGAAAGACAATCAAGACAATACCGTGGCTACAAAATTACGGTATCCCCGGCTCGCCTTTATCGACAAGCGATCGGGGAGATATCCCCAGCTATCGGTGGACGTGGCCTCCCGAGCAGGGTCAACCGTCCGTTGGACAAAGTCCAACGCGACGACGAGAGTAATGCCGAGAGTGAACGTACGCACGGAGACACAGACGGCTCGCGGGTGGCGAGAGTGAATGCCGGCGCGGAGAGCGGTCAACATCGGTCCAACGTCGCTCCAATATCGGTCCAACGTAACGGTTGACCCTGCTCCCGAGAACTGTTGGGGAGAGCGTACCGGGACGGGCCCCTCGCTTGCTGAAGGAGCGTAGCAGCCCCTGCTGATCAGCCCTGGACGGTCTCTCTGCGTCTTCTTTTCCCTGGCGTTGATCCAGCACCATCATTGGGCTCACTGCCTTTGTAGAGCTTCTGCTCTTATGAAGGTATCCTACCTTGATCTAGACTAAGTGAACTCGTTCTTGTACCGTCTCCTCACCTCCTCTTTGAGGCTCCTTGGAGTGGCTTGTTTTGAACTTCGGAATCTGCTGCTTTCTTTTATGGGTGACCACAAAGCCTGCCTTCCCAGACGTGTCCTTGCTATAGCAGTCGCTCAAGCAGATTGCTCCTTTCGAGGTAAAGCTGCTCTCGTGCCTTCAGTGGCAGTCTGTACGGTTGTGACATATGTACTCGTTCTTGAGGCTGTTCGGTCCCGTCCAACTGCAAACCCACTTAAGCTCGCTGCCGTGGAGCATCGCGGCCCTTACCGCTGTCTGATGTACCTCACATCTAACGATAAGCGTTCTGGAGCAGTGTATCGCAGAGACTACCAACGCTCCCCTC